ATATCTTCTTCTTGGATCGATCCCTTGATCATTATGTAGTGTCCTTCTTTGTCTCTTTCAATAGTCCTTATTTTAAAGTCTATTTTGTCTGATATGAGAATTGCTACTCCAGCTTTCTTTTGGTTTCCATTTGCATGGAATATCTTTTTCCATCCCCTTACTTTCAGTCTGTATGTGTCTCTAGGTCTAAAGTGGGTCTCTTGTAGACCACAAAAGTTTTTTAATTTTGATGAAGTCCAGTTTATTTTTTGTTGCTTGTGCTTTTTCTGGTATCATATCAAGAAATGATTGCCAAATTCGGTGTTGTAAAGATTGTCTTGTATATTCTCTTATAGGATTTTATAGCTTTAGTTGTTTAGATCTTTGATCCATTTTGAGTTCATTTTTGTATATAGAGTAAGGGAAGAATCTGACTTCATTCTTTTGCATGTGGACATCCAGTTTTTCCAGCTCTCTTTGTTGAAAAAAACTATACTTTCTCCACTGAATTTGATCATATATTTGAGGATATCTTTCTGCACTTTCTCCTCTATTCCAGTGGTCTATATGTCTGTCTTTATACCAGTATCACAGAGTTTTGATTACTGTAGCTTTGTAGTAAGTTTTGAAATCAGGAAGTTTGAGCCTTCCAACTTTGTTCTTCTTTTTCAAGATTGTTTTGGCTTTTTGGCTTCCTTTGAAATACCATATGAATTTTTGGGTGGGTTTTTCTATTTCTGCAAAAAACACTATTGGGGTTTTGATAAGGACTACATTGAATCTGTAGAGTGCTTTGGATAGTATTGCCATCTTAACAGTGTTACGTTTCCAATCCTTGAACATGGGATGTGCTTCCGTTTATATCTTCTTTGATTTCTTTCAGCACTGTTTTATAGCTTTCATTGTGCAAGTCTTTCATCTCTTTGGTTAATTCCTAAGTATTTTATTCTTTTTGATGCTTTCATAAGTGGAATTGTTTTCTTAATTTCCTTTTTAAATTGTTCATTGCTGGCGTATAGAAATGCAGTTGACTTTTGTGTGTTGATTTTGTATCCTACAACTTTGCTGAATTTGTTTACTAGCTCTAACAGGCTTTTTGTGTGTTTGTGTGTTATCTTCAAGGTTTTCTACATATAGATCATGTCATCTGAGAACAGAGATAACTTCTTCCTTTCCAGTTTGGATGGCTTTTATTTCTTTGTCTTTTCTCATTTCCTTTTCTTTTTCTAATTGCTCTGCGTAGAACTTCCACTAGTATGTTTAATAGAAGTGGCAAAAGCAGGCGTCCATATCTTGTTCCTAATATTAGACCAGTAGCTTTCAGCTGTTCACCATTAAGTATGATGTTCACTATGGGTTGTTCATATATAGCTTTTATCATGTTGAGGAAGCTTATTCAGTGTTTCTGTCGTGGGAGGGTGTTGAATTTTGCCAAATGCTTTTTCTGCATCAATGGTGATGATTTTTTTCCCTTCATTTTATTTATGTGATGTATTACGTTGATTGATTTTGTTGTTGAACCATTCATGTCCTCTAGGAATAAATCCCACTTGGTCATAGTATATAATCCTTTTACTATGCTGCTGGCTTTGGTTTGCTAATTCATGTTGAGGATTCTTTCATAGGTATTCTTAAGGGAAATTTGTCCATAGTTTTCTTGCATTGTCTTTGTTTGGCCTTCATATTAGAGTATTGCTAGCCTCATGGGATGAGTTAGGAAGTGTTCCTTCTCCTTTAATTTTCCAGAAGTGTTTGAGAAGGACTGGTGTTAATTCTTCTTTAAATACTTGATAGAGTATTCACCAGTGAAGCCGTCTGATCCTGGGCTTTTTCTTTGTAGGGAGGTTTTTTATTACTGATTTCATCTCCTTGCTAGTTATAGTTCTATTTAGATTTTCTGTTTCTTAATGAGTCAGTTTTGGTAGATTGTGTGCTTCTAGGAATTTGCCCATTTGTCTGGATTATCCTGTTTGTTGGTGTATAATTTTTCATAGTGTAATAATCTTTATTTCTGTAAAAACAGTAATGTCCTCATTTTCAATTCTGATCTTTAGTAATTTGAGTCTTCTTTTTTTCTTAATTTAGCTAAAGGTTTGTAAATTTCTTGACCTTTGCAAAGAGCCAACTTTTGATTTTGTTGATTTTTTCCCCGTTTTTCTATTCTCTATTTCATATTGATTTGAGAACTCCCTTCTTTTTTAATGTAAGAGTTTCCAGCTATAAAATTTCCACTTAGCACTGTTTTCTTTAATTTTTGGTATGTTGTATTTTTACTTTGATTTGTCTCAAGATATTTTCTAATTTTCTTTGTGGTTTTTTTCTTTGACCAAGGGTGTTGTTTAATTTTTACACATTTGTGAATTTTCCAGTTTTCCTTCTGCTGTTGATTTCTAGTTTCATTTCATTGTGATCAGAAAGATTATATATATTATTTTAATCTCTTTAAATTTATTAAGACTTGTGGCCTAACATATGGTCCATCCTGGAAATTGTTGCTTGTGTGTTTGAGAAGAATGTATATTCTGCTGTTGTTGCGTGAGTTTACCTTTTGGCATGTTATATTTGAGAAGGTGTGTAAGTATAGATGTATTATTTTCAGTTAGGAGTAAGGCCAAAGGGAGAAATTTGTTAATGAGCTGTAGAGAGGGCTTGAGATCACAAGAATGCATAACTTTCTATGAGGAATGGAATTTAGAGCACTAGAACAGCCTTAGATATATCCTTAGTTAGAAGGCTGAAGCTTGAATATAGCCTGGAGTTTTAGATAAAGATGGAACAATTTGAGATAGACAATAAACAAGAAACTATAATATTTAGAAATTAAAGATAATATAAAAAAGAGAATTTGATCAGCTAAATTCAGGGTTGGGAAGTCAACTACATTGTTTGGGAAGGATGTTTTCTCATGTTCCTTTAATAATTCAACAAAGAAAGGGAAGAACAGGTTCCTTTTTTTGTATTCAAGAAACATTTAAATGATGACAGCTACTTAAATTATGAAATTTAAAACGACAAATATCAATTATATATTTCTAGAGTATAATTTTTAGAGGCTAATTTCCTACTTTATTAAGTAAGTCTGAAATCTAAGAAACTTCACATATTATCTAATTGCTGTATTTGAATTTTGTAGAAGTTGTTTCTGGACAGTCTACGAAAAGCACTTGCCGGCCACGGAGGAAGCAGGCAGCTGACTGAAAGCGCTGCAATCGCCTGTGTCAAACTGTGTAAAGCAAGTACTTACATCAATTGGGAAGATAACTCTGTCATCTTCTTACTAGTTCAGTCCATGGTGGTTGATCTTAAGGTAACATGTTTACTGTTTCTCTTATACAAACTTAAAAAACGTTAAATGAAGAATAAACTTGTAGTATAAATAGTATACTAGATCACTGTCAAAGATCATTGCAACACAGAAGTTCTGAGTCTTCTTTTATTAAGTTCTTAGGACCTGCTTTTGTTACTGTTCCTCTGGCTACATAAGGTGGCTTAGAATATGAAGAAAACACAGAATGAACCCGTTTTCTTAAATTAGCATAAATATTCAGACTTGTGTTTAAAATAATATAGAAATTTGGGCCTGAGAGGAACCATATATGGTATAGTAAGAATTTTGAATTTTGTCAGACTGATGAACCACAATATTAGTGCTTTGTGTTTTGTGTGGGAACTAAATGTTACTGCCATCTGTGTGGATGATGTGTTATTAAATACTAGTAGAAAAAATACTGCGTGACTGTTTAAAGGCTTTTGTTTTCTATTGGGATTTTCATAGAACCTGCTTTTTAATCCAAGTAAACCATTCTCAAGAGGCAGTCAGCCTGCAGATGTGGATCTAATGATTGACTGCCTTGTTTCTTGCTTTCGTATAAGCCCTCACAACAACCAACACTTTAAGGTGAGAGCATTGGTTTTGATCCAATTGTGTTTACTGATGCTGTTGATACTTTTAAATGTGAAAAGAGTAGAAAAATGAATAGATTACACCTTTATCAGTATTGCTCATTATTATATGTTAAAGTTAATTTAAAGACCTTAAAAATTTATTCTATTTAAAAAAAAACTTTCTTTTTGTTGTTCCTTTTGTCCTCATAATATATTACTATATATTTTTCTCATAGAAGTAATAATCATTTTTTTTCTTTCCTCTGTAGATCTGTCTGGCTCAGAATTCCCCTTCTACATTTCACTATGTGCTGGTAAATTCACTCCATCGAATCATCACCAATGTAAGTCCAAAAGGTATTGCTAAATTACTTAAAATTTTTTTTTCTTTACTCCTTTTTTATTTCTTTTTAAGAAACACGTTTTTGGTTTACAAAAGATTTTGAATTTAGATGTATGATATAGGAAGATTTCTCACACATGATTCTACCTAATAACTGATATACAATTGTATTTTTCATATTTAATCTTGACCTCAGGGCCCTTATTGAGGAAGATGGAGTTAGTAGGATCCTTTGGAAAGATTAAACTTAAAAGATATTTGGATCAGAAGCCCTTGAGAACAATGCCACTGAAAATATAATTTAACATTTTCATCCCAAAGCTCTTCACATATTATTTTAATACTCTTAGCCCTTTCCCAGCATTTGAAACGTTCTTACTTGTCACCTTACTGTTTAAGTTAAAAGTAGCAGTATTTATGTTGTAGCGCATTATGTATATTAAAAAAATGGTGAGACCATATTTGATTGCACTTTTTAGTCTTCCTTAAACAAATGAAACATTAACACTTAGAGGTGTTTACATGATGTAAAAGCATATCAGACAAAATAAGCAAACTTATTAAAAGGTACTTGTGAAACCTTCGACTCTGATGTGAGTACATCAAGTAGGACGATAGTAACTGTATTAGATTTGGACCATGGATTTAAAAAATTCTGTTTTTCTGATCATATTTTGAAGGTTTTCAAGTGTTATTTACCATAGCTCCACTTTTATCCATTTTTAGATATTCACACGTAAGTGTAAATTGTTCAACTTTTTCCTGTTTTCCTCCCTTAAAAAGGACTTTAATCATTGATAACTTAGGTATATTTGTCCTCTTTATAATCAAATTTCATTTTAAAAGAGTGTCTCTAGTGAGTTAAAAATATCCTTCTCACCTTCATTTGCCTTGGATGTATTGAACTATATCAAATTCTGCCACATTTTCTTTTATCCATTCCTGCAGAGGAATAATAACTACTAATAAAACTATGTAGTGACACATTTGGTTTTTCTCAGTGGGGTGCAAGTAGCATTTTTGGTCAGGACAATCTTTACAATGCAGGACTGCCTTGTGCATTGTAGGACATTGAGCATCCCTGGTCCTCATTTCATTAAATACCTTTTTTGCCACTTCCCTCCTCTCCCATCTCTGCCCGCAGACACTATGAATAACTAAAAATGCCTAAGGGAATGATTCCTCTCTCAGTTGAGGATCAGTTATAGGTAGAAGTAACATTAACTACAGTTTTTTGCAAAAGGGAAATTTTAATGAATCTGATATTGCAGATAAGGTATGTTTGTATTAAAAACTTAGAAAAATTTTTATTTTGCTTTTGCCAGTGTAATGAGCTAAGACATTGTACCCTTGTTTACTTTCAAGGCCATTAATTTAAAAACAATGATTTTTACCCTTCATGTTTATGTGTAATTCAGAAATAAAATATTATTACTTTTTTCTCCTTTGGTTTATAATACTAAAAACATTCTATTTATTAGAGTGGATGGTTTACATAAATGCTTAAAGCTTGTATTTAATAAACCCAAGTGTATACTTTTTTGATACTCTGTGGCTAGTTACTTTAATTGTGAAATATTTTTGTCTACAATTGAATATATAGAGCACTTTCAAGCATGGACTTGGCACTGCTGTAAGTGGCTGAGCTGCTCCTTTGTGGGTTTAAAGCATGCCTGGAGTGGTACTTCATGCATGCCTCAATGTATATGGTGAAGTGGTTGTGCATCCTTCTGTACTCTAATGAGTACTGCATGTGTGAAGGTGGAGTGTGTCTGTATCAGAGGCCACATAAATACGAAATCTATTTTTATAAAGAAAAACCTATATTGACTAACTTTTAAAATATTAAGTGTTAGTAACCTTTTAATGACTAGCTTGAAAAGGAACATAAATTTGAGTCTATAAAATATCTTTTATAATTGGACCTTAGATAATGATACTTTATTACAATAGATTGTTTGATAAATTGTTTCTTGTTAGGGTTTTTCTTTCCTTTGGTTTGAGGCTAAGAGATATTGAATCTGAAGTAATTTCTGATTGAAAAGGACTATGTATAAAGTAAATATGCTAATTTATGGAATTGACTATTATAGAATCTCACTTAATGTAGATATTATGGAAATATTCTGTCTTGAAATCACATAAAATTTTTCTTAGATATTTGGACTCCTAATCTTAAATTTATTTGTAGTATAAGATTTCCTTTTGGGCTTCCCTGGTGGCTTAGTGGTTGAGAGTCTGCCTGCTGATGCAGGGGACGCAGGTTCGTGCCCCGGTCCGGCAGGATCCCACATGCCGCGGAGCAGCTGGGCCTGTGGGCCATGGCTGCTGAGCCTGCGCGTCCGGAGCCTATGCTCCACGACGGGAGAGGCCACAGCGGTGAGAGGCCCACGTACCGCAAAAAAAAAAAAAAAAAAAAAGATTTCCTTTTAAATGATTCTTGGTTCAATACACCTCATAAGTTTTCTTCTTCCTTGCTTTTTCAGCCAGCTCACAGATTTTTTTAAAATTACCACAGTCTCAAATTAGATAAATGATGTGGTTTTGAGGGTGTATATAGAAGTAGTAATGATGTTTGCAGTTTTGCTTTCGTGAAACATACTCATGTTCAGTTCATAAGTACTGTGTTTAGGTCTGAAAGAGTCCACTGTTTCTTCTTAAGAAATCTGAAAATCCAGTCACTATTTGAATTTGATTATAATTTAAGCTTTTATCAGTTTCTAAAATGGTACGTTTAGTACCGTCACCTTTTTTTATTACGGAATGCCATAAGATATGAATTGTAGTTAAAAGATCTGTGTTATGTGCTTAATCTTTATACACTTCCTTTAGGTTAGATTAGATATGTTGTCATAATTGGGCAGTTAAAGAAATAATATATACATATATGAACCAAATATCTCTCCCATCAGTGGAACATGCTATAGCTGGTATAGTACTTAGTATTGTTTTTTCCTTATGGCAGTTGAGTGTAGTTTACTTATGGATAGTTCACATATTGAGAATGAGATGATCTCATTCTATTGAGTGGGTTTGGTTGAAGAAATTATTTCCAAGGCATGTGAAATTTATTGAAATAATCTTGAAGAATTGCCACATGGCTTGCTTATATTATGAAAGTATTGCCATTTGTTTGGCAATGAACTTAGAATTTTCAAGGACAAAAAAGAATAAGTCTACCTTAGTTGACTGGTTTCAGAAAGGACACATTTAATAACCGCTTGGAAAACTAAAATTTTTACCAACTACATAATGTCTAGGTTTTAGTGCGTATTTTATTTGAAAGTGTATCTTTAAATTTTACTTTAAAATGAATGATTTTATATATTATGAAAAACAGAAATTTTGAAAATAACTAAATCTTAAGTTAAAATCAAGTTATTTAATAGGGTATACTTGGTACCATGATACAATTTCAACAGCTATCAAAATGACATAGTAGTTTGGATAGGATGTTACATGGGACGCATATGTCTTTAGTTCAGCAGTTTCTGACAAGATATTATAGGGTCAGTAGAGTGAGGACTCTTATCTCAAAGCATTTTGTGATTATTCAGTCTTCGTTACTTTAAGCTGATTAACACAAGCTGTATAAATTAGTAGATATATGGAAATCAAGGTGTATTGATTGCTCTGTGCAAGTCAGGTGACCAAATTGACTAACATTTAAGGAATTCATTATATAATGAAACTAATAAAACTTGATCATTTGTTAGGAAGTAAATTAAGAGTTTGAGAGAAAAATAGAAACAATCATACTATCCAAGTAAAAGTATTTCTTCCCTCATAACTTAGGAGTTTTTTCATAAATGGAGTTCAGTATTGATTGTATTTTATAAATTGGTTTTATAGTATACTATCCAGTAAATAGAGTTTGTAATCCAGAATTTGGGGTTTAGGTAATATAACCTGATGCTACTGTAAATATTCTGAGAGTTATGGCTAAAAAAATTAAATGTTGAGAATTTAATTAGCTTAGTTTCAAATTAGAAGGAACTTGGGAATAGGATGTGAAGCTATCACATCCCCTTATCTAGTGTTTCAAATTGTTCTTTCAGGTATTTCTTATAGCAGGAGTATTATAAATTGGAAGCCTGTATTTTAAGTCATCCTATTCCTTGCATACTCTCTCTATATAGTGAAAATTCATCCAGTCATTTTTGTGTTCACTGATAGACAAACTTAACAGTTTTAGTGATTTTCATAATTGTCATTTTCCATAATATAGTAATTAATTCATTTAAAAGTAAAAGATACACTTTCAAATAAAATAGGCACTAAAAACTAGAATCAAAGCTAAATAAACAGATTAAACTGTAGAAAAATATTTACAAAAAATAATTACTTAAAAAATATTTAGCTATGATCATTTTGTCTTTGTGGTGATCGTTAGTCTTCTCATGTATTGTGCCATCATTGCATATCAATTTAAGATTATAGGTTTACTAATAGCTTTATCTCATTTACTAATTTCATGTTGTAATTATCATTGTTTGTCTGTGGGCATATAAGTAATGGTTTATCACATATTCCTTCAACACTGTGTTGAACCACTAATCTCTTTTAAAACTGATAATAGCATTCTTGCCTTGGGAAATATATACTATATATGCATATGTTTCTGAAATGTGTAAAACATTAAACTTATAAAAAAGAAAAAGATTGCCTACAGAATTAGCCCTCTAAAAACTTTGTTTTTCAGATTCACTAGATTATCAGTGAGAAAAGACAGTCTCAAATGCTCACGCTTACGTAGTGAGTGATTTGTTTCATGTTCATTATGATATTTTAAAATAGATGTATGGTTTGGTGTTTGAATTAAAGACATTACTTGAAGACTTTGGAAATCATAGTGTGTGTTTGCATGGTCTTAGGAAATTTCTCACAAAGTGATAAAACTACAGTGATTACCAGAGCATATAACTCATGCAAATTTGGACTTTTCCTTTCTTATGGTCTCTGTTTTTCTCCAGTCTGCATTGGATTGGTGGCCTAAGATTGATGCCGTATATTGTCACTCAGTTGAACTTCGAAATATGTTTGGTGAAACACTTCATAAAGCAGTCCAGGGTTGTGGAGCGCACCCAGCGATACGAATGGCACCGGTAAGATTAATCATGAATTTTGAATTCCACCTTCTTGCAGTTGCGTTTTCAGTGCCTTTATCCCATTCTTGCTGTTTTGATTTTTTTAGAAAATCAAATGAGACCTTTCTTTTCAGTAAGTATTGTGGTATGTTGAATACTGCAATATTGTTGCAATACTAGTTAATGATGTATGTTTTCCACTATTTCAGTGAGTTTAACTTACTTTTCTTAGAGAGATTTTCTAAAAAAATGCTGTTAAAATCTTAATGAATGTCACTTTTTCTTTCCTTTTTTAGTTTCTTTTTCCTTTAATCTTTCCTTATGAATCAAAATATTTTGATTAGCTCCTCATCTTTTGGGGGTGAGTAAGGGAAGCTGACTCCTGGGTTAGAGTGAATGTTCCTACTAATGCACAGTTTTGCCCATTGGATGCTGAATATTGCACACAGGAAATTACAAATAAAATTTAAAGTTTATATTTAAAATAAAAATATTTCATATTTCATTAAACATGCTTTGAACATTTAAAATGATAGGCACTTTGATATTAAAGTTTGACTCTGTTTAAACTTAATAAAAGTAGATATTTTCAAATAAGCATTCTCACAGATTAATACTCTTAATTTGGAAACTCATATAGAACCAATTTAAAAAGACAATTAGAAGATGGTAGAAGTCATTTCTTGGTATTCACGTATAGCTGGAGTTATACATGGCAACTCTTGACATCGATTGGTAGTGCTTTATCTTCTGCTTCTTATTTTCTATTCTTTTTGGCTACTGTCGCTCACATGGTCAGATGCCAACCAGTCACTGTTTTGCATGGCAGTGGGCAGTGGCTGTATGTATGACCATTGTAACTACCTCAGAAAAGTCTTTGGTTTCTTTGACTTTTCTGTGTATAGTTACCATTATAGTCACATCATGTCATTTCACATGAAAGTGTGGCATGTGGCATGTGGCATGTTTTCACCTATTGGTTTTAATAGTAAATTAGCCACTTCACACTTAAAAGATAATTTAAACAGCTTTCTTCCTGGCATACATCTCTTTTTCCAAGTTCCCTCAGTCAGTAAAATATTTTGGTTTTATACAGTTCTAGTTCACTCTGATCCAGTTGTCAGCCATTGTTTCTGAGGATTGTTTATCTTAGATGTTCAAATAGAGAAGTTTGCTACACCATATATTTTGGGATTATTTAGCCCAAAAAATTATAGCCAAAAGAGCATGGCAGTCATGTTTTATTAAATAAAATGCAAAGTTATCTTTAGTTTTTGTAATGCCAATTTCTTAATTTTTTAAAAAAATGAAAATTTCAATCCAAGTATAAATTAATTGGAGATAAACATAAATAATAGCTACTTAAATGTTATTAACTTGACATTCATTTTTAAAAAGTTTTAGAAAATGACTTAAACTTTAAAAATTATTTACTGACCTATTTATTCATTCCAAATATCCTCTGGGAAGTTAGAACTTTGACTTTTTAATTTAATTTAATTAATTAATTTATTTATTGGTTGTGTTGGGTCTTTGTTGCTGTGCACGGGCTTTCTCTAGTTGTGGAGAGTGGGGGCTACTCTTCGTTGTGGTGTGCGGGCTTCTCTTTGCGGTGGCTTCTCCTGTTGTGGAGCACAGGCTCTAGGCGCGTGGGCTCAGTAGTTGTGGCTCGCCGGCTTAGTTGCTCCGCAGCATGTGGGATCTTCCTGGACTAGGGATTGAGCACGTGTCCCCTGCATTGGCAGGCGGATTCTTTTTTTTTTAATTAATTAATTAATTTTTGGCTGTGTTGGGTCTTCGTTGCTGTGTGCGGGCTTTCTCTAGTTGCGGTGAGTGGGGGCTGCTCTTCGTTGCAGTGGGCGTGCTTCTCATTGCAGTGGCTTCTCGTTGCAGAGCACGGGCTGTAGGTGCGCAGGCTTCAGTAGTTGTGGCATGTGGGCTCAGTAGTTGTGGCTTGCGGGCTCTAGAACTCAGGCTCAGTAGTTGTGGCACATGGGCTTAGTTGCTCCACGGCACATGGGATCTTCCCGGGCCAGGGCTTGAACCTATGTCCCCTGCATTGGCAGGCAGATTCTTAACCACTGTGCCACCAGGGAAGCCCAGCAGGCAGATTCTTAACTACTGTGCCACCAGGGAAGTCTGTGAAATTTTATATGTATATGTATTTGTACATAATGGCCAAGGGACGGCTTCCTGGCTGATACTTTTTTTTTTTTTTTACTTTTTATTTTATATGGGAGTATAGCTGATTGACAATGTTGTGATAGTTTCAGGTGTACAACAAAGCAACTCAGCCATACATATACGTGTATCCATTCTCCCCCAAACTCCCCTCCCATCCAAGCTCTGGCTGATACTCTTATCAGGGAAAATAATCATCAAATCTACTATGAAATAATTTTTTAGGATAAGAAAATGCTTCAATTTGGATGATCCTTAAGGTGAATCTTATCTCTCTTAAGCCTGGTGAGTGAACAGTCTGACAACAAATATAGGAAGTATCGAATTTCCACTAGCTGCCAAGCACATTGTTAATGCCAGGGAAGCATGATGAGCTAAACAGTCACAGAGATGCCAGTCTTGTAGGTTTTGCTTGAAAACTTCTAATGAAGAGCCAACTACAGTGCCCATAAAGTCTGGAAACAGTCAAATATACATAATGAATGGTTTAGAGATACTTTACATCAGGGTTTTCCAACTTTGGCACTACTGACATTTTGGCATGGTTAATTCTTTGTTGTAGGGGACTGTCCTGTGCATTGTGGGATGTTTAACAGCATCTTTAGCGTCTACCGACTAGACACCAGCAGCATCTCTTGCCCCCCAGCCAGTCATGAAAAACAAAAATGTCTACAGACATTTTTCAGATATTCCCTGGGGAACAAAATTGCCCCCAGTTGAGAGCCACTGTATGACATGATATGTTCAGTGGGTTGTTCTTATTTGCATTGCCTCAGATAATTTGAGGCTCTGATAAACCTTAGCTTTCAGTTTGCTGCAGAATTAATCAAGGATTTCATTGTGTCAAGTTAAAATAATATGTGTTTCTAGGCTTTACAACTACTTTGTATTTTGGATATGGATAAATTTCTTTCTGTAAAGAGCCAAGTATTTAAAAATTTTTCTCCAACCAAGATCAACTCATGTCCCTATCACTCCCAGCTATCATAATCCTCTCTCTTTTTTTGGAGCTCTATAGAACCCTTCTGATTCTTCCATAAGACAGCACTGCGGGGGGGGTGGGATTAATTGGGAGGTTGGGATTGACATATATACACTATCGATACTATGTATAAAATAGATAACTAATGAGAACCTACTGTATAGCACAGGGAACTCTACTCAGTGCTCTGTGGTGACCTAAATGAGAAGGAACTCCAAAAAAGAGGGGATATATGTATATGTATAGCTGATTTCACTTTGCTGTACAGTATAAACTAACACAGTATTGTAAAGCAACTATACTCCAATCAAAAAAAAAAAAAGAAGTGGCACAGGAGATCAAACAAAGAAAGCAAGATCCATACACACACACGCACGCACACACAAAGACAGCCCTGCAGATACTTGAATAAAGTTATACTGTACTGCTAAGGGTGCTTCAGAAGTGTGTGTAGATATGCACTTTGTTTCCTCTGTTTTTACAGCTAAGGAAACTGAGGCACAAGCACTGTTAAATGAAAGACATATCACATGGTTAGTAAATAGTCAACATTCAGTCCCGTGTCTTTCCAGTTCTTCAGCTGTCTTCCCCTGCCCTTGTTTTAGCTTGATGAAAGCAGGAGCCTTGTCTGGCTTGTCCAGCACCCAGTTCCTGGTCCCTAGAGCAGTATCTGGCATGTCATAGGCATCTAGTACCTATTTGTTGAATTCCTTACTTGACCTGCTTTCAAAACCCCCCTCCATCTGGTATGCTTCTCTTCTGGAAAGAATCTTCATTGCTTTTTTTCAATGAAAATGACATATTAAGGTCTGAGTTTAGTGTTCGAGGTGTGGTATAATAATTGATGAAAACTGTTAACCTGCTGTGTCTGCATATGATGTTTCTACTAATGCAGTCAAGGATTGCATTATTTTAGATTAAGCTTTTAATCATTTAAACTCTTTAGCCTTTTCCATATGAACATTGAGCCATAGCTTCTCCATTTTGTACTTTTGTAGTATTTTTAAAAATTTGAGATATTTATCTCAGCACTAATCATTTATGTTTTAAAAATAAGATAGCCTGTTAATAATATGTGTAAATTCTGCACGAAAATTTTCCTTCTTAAAGGGGATCCTGGCTCAGCACATGCTTCCTACATGCCTATAATTCAGTCATGGCCTTAATTAACTTAACAGATGGTTTTGGCCCTTCATAAACACCTGAGCACTCTGATTCATGAATTTTTTCCTGGGCACGACTGCCTCTCCTCTTTGGCCAATGTGCGTATACCAGGTTGGATTCCTACTATTGTTTGCAATGTGGAAGATTAATTAATAAACTAATGCATGGTTTATTTTTCTTACATTTCTGGCCAAGAAATATCTTTCTTCTTTAGCATGTTATTTTTGACTTTAGGTAACCCACTAATGGTCACTAATTAAAAGGTGTTTGAATTGAAAAATTTATTTAAATTTTTCAAGTCTTTTCCCTCAGTTTTATTGAGATATAATTGACCCACAGCACTATATGAGTTTAAGATGTACTGCATAATAACTTAAGTTTCATATACTGTGAAATGATTACCACAATATGTTAGGTTAACATCCATCATTTCATATACATACCAAAAAAAAAGAAAAAAAGGTTTTTTCCTTGTGATGGGAACTCAGGATCTACTTTCTTAACAACTTTCCATACAGCAGTGTTAACTATAGTCATCATGTTGTACATCCCCAGTACTTATTTACCTTATAACTGAAAGTTTGTATATTTTGACCATTTCATCCAATTCTCCCAACCTCTACTCCCTGTGTCTGGTAACCAGAAATCTGAGCTCTTTTTCTATGAGTTTGTTTTTTGTTTTGTTTTGTTTTTAAGATACCACATATAAGTGAGATCATACAGTATTTGTCTTTCTCTGTCTGACTCATTTCACTTAGCATAATGCCCTCCAGGTCCACTCATGTTGTCCAAATGGCAGGATTTCCTTCTTTTTTATGGTTGAATATATATATATATATAAAATAATCCATTATGTGTGTGTGTGTGTGTGTGTGTGTGTGTGTGTGTGTACCACAGTTTCATGACACTTGTTTCCATGTCTTGGCTATTGTAAGTAATGCTGCAGTGAACATAGGGATACAGATATATCTTTGACATAGTGTTTTCATTTTCTTTGGACAAATACCCAAAAGTAGAATTGCTGGATCTTATGGTAATTCTATTGTTAATTTTTTGAGGAACCACCATACTGTTTTCCCTAGTGGCTGTACCAGTTAAATCCCACCAGTAGTGCACAAGGGTTCCCTTTTCTCCACATCTTCACCAGCATTTGTTATCTTTTGTCTTTTTGATGATAGTCATTGTCTCACAGGTGTGAGGTGATAGCTCATTGTGACTTTATTTTCCCTGATGGTTAGTGATTTGAGTACCTTTTCATGTGTCTGTATGTCTTCTTTGGAAAAATGTTTATTCGTGTCCTTTACCCCTTTTAAAATTGGATTATTTGGATTTTGCTGTTGAGATACGTGAATTCTTTACGTATCTTGGATATTAACCACTTACCAATTTATGATTTGCACATTTTTTTCCATTCCCTATGTTGTCTTTTCATTTTGTTAATCATTTCTTTTCCTGTGCAGAAGCTTTTTAGTTTGAAAAACAACACCCCACTTGTTATTTTGTTGTTGTGCTTTAGGTGTCATATACAAAAAAAATCATTGCCAAGACTCATGTCAAGGAGGTTTTTTTTTCTGTTTTCTTCTGGAAGTTTTATGGTTTCCAGTCTTACATTTAAGTCTTTAGTCTATTTCAAGTTAATAGTTGTGAGTGGTGTAGAATTTTTCAAGTTTTACATTTTGTATTAGGCAGCCATGCTGGAACAAAATTTGTATGCTGCTATCTGAGATTGATATGATATTATCAAACTATTATTTACTTTTTGGAAATGGTTAATAAGTGGATAATTTTTATATCTGCTAATTGTTCTCTGCTCCGTTTTCCTGTGCAATGGCTGCATCATGGAAGAACAGTTACATTTAGTGACATTTTAATAAATAAATTTGTTTAATGAAAGTTTTACCTTGATCTACAGTGTTACTTCGACTTAGAATGAAAAGAAGTTTAATGGGAGCAAACAGTAAAAACAGCATTTATTAAATATATTTGGTAGGACGTTTGTTGTGGGATTATAAATATAAAAGCAACTTGTATTAGTAAGTTTTGCTATTTATTTTCTGTAGTGACATTCCTGTAGTACATTAGATAGTTTTTCTTCCACACTGAGGACAAAAACCTTCAGTGTTCTTGGGCATAATAACAAATGCATTTCTCACATGTAAACATTGACAATAATTGCTGTATGTTATAGATATGCATCTCTACTTTTTACCTTTGAAGATCAGCCTTTTACAAGGACATTTTTATTATGAGTCCATAGATGCTGGATATTCTCCTGTGTATTTCCATATAAAAGCATACATGTCAAAAGCATACATTTTTGTTTCCTTTTAAAGGAAAAGGGGAAATGTTTTGTAAGAACAGATAGAAAGGTGGTATTGGATCCAAAATATAATTGTTGGATTTCCAGTTGAATAATATCCATAATTATAGTATTAACACAACATCTGCCATAGTATCTCTGTAATTGAAACACATTTTCCATGATTTAATTTTTCTCAAAGAATTCTTTCTCTGTTTTATCAATGTTCTTCAGGCAAAATACATGCATTCTGTAACTTGAGAGAGATGGAATACCATTAAAGGAAAAAGAAAATCTTACAGTTAAACTGTTAAAAACAGAGATTGCCTGTATAGCATATTTCATCAATTCTAAGAAGTACCTATTTAACATTTCTGAAATTGGGGTTCATCTTATTTGTATGATGTCTTACAGTTGACAGTGAGTTTTCATTCCTTGTGGTACATAAAATGATGATGCACCTTACAGTTGATAACGTCATTGATTCTATGAAATATTTGTGTATACCTGTATGAGATGTTTGGTTAAATGAGTTGCTTACTGTGTGTATCTGTGAGATCTATAGAATAAATATTTTATCTCTAATATTTTCACATTTGAAAAATTGTTTTTAACATAGGAGTCAACCTTATATTAAAGCTTTTAGTATCTTAGCAGATTTTCACTTAAACTTTATTAGATTATATAATAATGTTGCAAAAATAATTTTTATTTGCTTTTCAAGCTTAATTATATTAATCTTGTACTTTCTATTGAACGTTTCTACTAAGACTACACATTTGGTGGTGTAAAATATGTCCCTTTATTTTTCAAAGCTTTTTAAAAATAGATTTACTTGAAAAAGTTGAATAGCTATTATCCTGATTCTGATGTCTGATTCTTACAAGGTGAATGTCATGTTTTTGTTTTTAGAGTCTTACATTTAAAGAAAAAGTAACAAGCCTTAAATTTAAAGAAAAACCTACAGACCTGGAGACAAGAAGCTATAAGTATCTTCTCTTGTCCATGGTGAAACTAATTCATGCAGATCCAAAGCTCTTGCTTTGTGTAAGTATTTTTTATAAAATGCCTTGAAATTATCTAACTTAGTTTGGTTTAGCTGGAAAGCCAAAACCTTGAAGGTGATTGTTAGCTCAAGAACACTTACTGACCTTCCTGATCATACATGAAACCTAAGAGATCCCCAAGAAAACGAACTTACAGAGAATACTAATATAATTAGATCAGATTTCTTAACCTTTTGTCTTAATTTTTCTTATTATTAAACTAACATACTTTGGTAAGATCTTCTGTCCATACCCGGCTACCAGATTATATATTATTCAGGCATAATCCTGGGATGGGGTTTAGATGTAATGAAGCAACCATAAATTGAGTGCTTCCTATATCTACACAGTTGGTTTTTTAAGTCTGCAATTGCTATTGCCAAAAAATTGAGTTTTTCCATCCCCCTTTCTTCCTGTCATCAGCCTTTTAATATCACTGGCTTTGCCTATGTATACTGTATTGGGAGAAGAAGGAGTTAAAAATGGGTATGGTTAGGGCTTCCCTGGTGGCACAGTGGTTGAGAGTCTGCCTGCCGATGCAGGGGACACGGGTTCATGCCCTGGTCCGGGAAGATCCCACATGCCACGGAGTGGCTAGGCCCGTGAGCTATGGCCGCTGAGCCTGCACGTCCGGAGCCTGTGCTCCACAACGGGAGAGGCCACAACAGTGAGAGGCCCGCGTACCGCAAAAAAAAAGAAAGAAAGAAAAAGAAATGGGTATGGTTAGCGCTCAGTTATTGTGGCAACTCTGCTCTTAACAGCCTCAGATGGTATTAGATTCCTGAAAGCATCACTGTAGTACACAAGATAATTAGGAACTAACAAGTGAAAATGAGTGACAGTTATATGAAAGGATGAAAAACATGGGTTCTGGAGACATATTAGCTATGTGATTTGGGTGACTTAACCTCTCTGTGTTTAGTTTTCTTATCTGAAATATTGTGATGATAATAATAGTTCCTACCTTAGCTTGTTAAGCAGACTGAGATAGTACATGTCATGCTTTTAGGAACAATGCAAAATAAATGCATAATGAGCACTAAATAAATGTTATGTATTATTACTATTAATAAAATACAGTTAACATTAACACTAATATTATTAATGCCCCAAACATAACAGAAATATATTGTGAAGCTCATAGGACAGCATATTTAACCCCTGTGGAATTTCTTCAGTCCTTGGAGAGCAGCATACAGAACGATTTCCCATTGTTTTGTTCAGCAACAGGCTTTTTAAATGCTAAGGGTACTTTTAACTTTGATGGTATATTTTTCAAATTACTATACTATAGGAGTTCATAACTTGATGTCCATATTTTCAAGAGTTCTTTGAGTCCTCTGAATTTAAAGTATTTATGTAAATATTTTTTCTGGAGAGAAAAGAGATGAGAGAGAGAATTCCCAAAAGCATTAGTGACCCCCCAAAAAAGGCCTATGTTGTTTTGAACTCTTTGAAAAGCTCATCCAAATCTGGGAGTCTAATAGAATAAATTGTTAAAACTTTGGTGTGGAAAAAGTCCTAAAATCTATCATTAAGACTTTATAAAAGGAATGAAATAACTTTTTCCCCTTATTTCTTTGTTATGTAGCCCAGGTTACTTGTGGTGTTGTTTCATCATGCATGTCATATATTAGCACCACTCTGTTTGCATAGCTATAATTCGGAATCAGAGAATACATCAAAGTCACCAGTGCCTTCCGTGTTAAATATTTTATTGTCAAGGAACAAGAATTTAAGCAAAAAGTGCTGTTTTCCACGTTTAAAATTTAGCAAGCAGAAAAGGATCATTTAAAATAGAAGTTATTTTCTTTGCTGCCATCTAGTGGTTAAATAACTTTTCTCAGAGTAATCAAAGGTAAGCTAAAATAGTGAAAGATTCATTGTAAATATTCGATTATTTTATATTTTACCTATAAAAATCTAAATCTTAGTAAATAGGATAAATATAGGAATAACTATTAAGTGATTTCAGTCATGGTTTTTTAAAGTAATGTGATTTTATTGTCTTCTTTCTCTACCTCTCTATCCTAATTCATACTACTCTCAATTTTTCAAGCCTCCCAATTGCTCAGCTTGCATCATCTCTTGCTTCCTTTTAATCACTTCTCTGCACTAAAGTTACAGTGATATCTTAAAAAAGCAAATCTTATGCTTCCTGCCCAGCTTAAAACCTTTTAGTTGAGGTTGCTTTGGGAATAAAGCAAACTCCAAATAGACCTGCATGGTTTTGCAGCGTTTGTCTCCCACCTACCACCTCTGCAACATCTAGCATTATATTTGTCGTCTTTACGCTAGTCATGATGGCCTTTCACTCCCTCTTACTACATTCCTTCATGCCTATCCATGCACTTGCAGTTCCTCTGCCTACAGTATGCTTCCCTATCCTGTGTCCTCTTCACATAGTAATTCCTAATTCTGAGCTGTTATCACTGCCCTAAGGAAGCATCCCTGCCTATACCACATTTCCCTGTTACAAGTGCTCATAGCAGCATGTAACTTCATAATTCTTTCTCATTTGCAATTTAAACTTGTTGATCTAATTATTTTATTGATGTTTGTCTTTCCCACCAGACTACATGCTCCAAGAGGGTAGGAAACATGTCTTTTTTACTTGTTGTGTCTTTGGTGTTCAGTAAATGTTATTGGGTTATTAATGAATTAATACAAATATCAGAAAAATAGGCAGTTTTTGAATTATAGATACACTGGGGTGAGGGCTTACCTTAATTGTTGTAATGGGAAAGAGTGTGTAGTTAACAAAATAAAATATGGGCATTAATTGAATTGGCCTCACTTAAATGAACCATATATGCTTGAAGTGTAAATAGATTCTTACAAGTTACAGGAAGCATTTTAGTCTCTTTAAGTAGGTAGACATTCATATTTATATACTGCTTTGTTTTGTATACAATGTCTTTCCACAATGAAAAAGCCTGAGGTATGGGTATCTGGAGGTGTGGATTCTAGCCCTGTGTGGATTTGGGTAGGTCCTTATACTGGACAAGAGGGCTACACAGGATAATTGTGTAGTCCTCATCAAGCATGCACATTCTTTGCTTTTCATCACAAGTTTAAGATCCCAAACCAGAAGTTCCAAATCAGAGGTATATTATTTAGCCAATGTAGGGTTGCTGAAAAAAAATTATTTACTTCCATTATTGATGTAATTTCTTAACTGAAAAGCTAATACCTAGTTTTTGTTTTATTTTAATTAGGATTTTCTCTGGATATTATTCACGTTAATGAACAAGTATAGATGTAGATTGAGAATTCTTAACAAAAGCAGTTTTGATTTTTTAAAAAAAAACCCCACAGTTATTATTATTTTTGAGGTAAAATTCACGTACCATGAAGTTTTTACCTGTTTAAAGTGTACAGATCACTGGTTTTGGTATATTTACAAGGTTGTGTAGCCATCACCACTATCTAGGTCTAGAACATCTAGAACATTTTCATCACCTCAAAAATAAACCTAGAACCCATTAGCAGTCAGTCTCCATTACCTCTACCCTTCAGCCTCTGTCCATCCATTTTTTTTTTTTAATTGAAATTTGCTTTTTTCTTTGCAGAATCCGAGAAAACAGGGGCCTGAAACTCAAGGCAGTACCGCAGAATTAATTACAGGGCTCGTCCAACTGGTACCTCAGTCACACATGCCAGAGATTGCTCAGGAAGCAATGGAGGTAAGGGGAAAATGAATTCTAGGCTCTTGAAGGTAAAGTTGTAACTATGTACATTCCTTTTTTTAATCTATTCCTTTTAAATTTTTTCTTTAATTTTTATTTTATTAAAAAAATTTTTATCCAATTTTTAAAGGTTACTTTACAGTTACTACAAAATATTACCTATATTCCCCATGTTATGCAATATATTCTTGAGCCCATCTTACACCCAATAGTTTGTACCTTCCACTCCCCAGCCCCTGTATTGCCTGCCCCCCAAACTCCCTCCCACTGGTAACCACTAGTTTGGGCTCTGTATCTGTGAGTCTGCTTCTTTTTTGTTATATTGACTAGTTTGTTAGATTTTTTAGATTCCACATATAAGTGGTATCATATAGTATTTGTCTTTGTCTGACTTATTTCACTTAGCATAATGCCTGCCAAAGTCCATCCATGTTGCTGCAAATGGCAAAAGTTCTTTCTTTTTTATGGCTGAGTAGTATTCTGTTGTATATATATGTATTCATTACCACATCTTCTTTATCCATTCATCTGTTGGATGAATGGACACTTAGGTTGTTTCCATATCTTGGCAGTTGTAAATAATGCTACTATAAACATTGGGGTTATGTATCTTTTCTAATTAGTATTTTTGTTTTTTCCAATATGTACCCAGGAGTGGAATTGCTGGTCATATGGTAGTTCTATTTTTAGTTTTTTGAGAAAAAAACTGTTTTCCACAGTGGCTGCACCAGTTTACATCCCCGCCAACAATGTACAAGGGATCCCTTTTCTCCATATCCTCATCACCATTTGTTATTTGTGTTCTTTTGGTTCATTCTGACAGATGTGAGGTGGTGTCTCATTGTGGTTTTGATTTGCATTTCCCTGATGATTACTGATATTGAGTATCTTTTCATATGCCTGTTGGCCATCTGTATGTTTCTTTGGAAAAATGTGTATTCAGTTCTTTTGCCCATTTTTAAAATTGGGTTGTTTGTTTTTTTGATGTTGAGTTGTATGAGCTGTTTATATATGTTGAATATTAATCTCTTATCAGTCATATAGTTTGCAAATATTTTCTCCCATTCAGTAGGCTGTTTTTGTATTTTGTCAGTGGTTTCCTTTGTTGTGCAAAAGCTTTTAAGTTTAATTAGGTCCCATTTGTTTATTTTTGCTTTTATTTCCTTTGCTTCAGGAGACATCTAAAAAAATACTGCTACCATTTATACCAAAGAGTGTTCTGCTTATGTTTTCCTCTATAAGATTTATGGTTTCTGGCCTTATATTTAGGTCTTTAATCCATTTTGAGTTTATTTTTGTATATGGTGTTAGAGAATGTTCTAATTTCATTCTTTGACATGTAGCTGTCCAGTTTTCCCAGCACCACTTATTTTCTTCCATTGTTTTTTTTTTTAATTAATTAATTAATTAACTTATTTTTGGTTGCATTGGGTCTTTGTTGCTGTGCGCGAGCTTTTCTCTAGTTGCGGCAAGCCAGGGCTACTCTTCATTGCGGTGCATGGGCTTCTCATTGTGGTGGCTTCTCTTGTTGCGGAGCACGGGCTCTAGCCACATGGGCTTCGGTAGTTGTGGCACATGGGCTCAGTAGTTGTGGCTCATGGGTTTAGTTGCTCCCCAGCATGTGGGGTCTTCCTGGACCAGGGCTCAAACCCATGTCCCCCGCTTTGGCAGACGGTTTCTTAGCCACTGTGCCACCAGGGAAGGCCAGTATGGTCATTTTAACAGTATTGATTCTTCCAATCCAAGAACACGGTGTATCTTTCCATCTGTGTGTTGTCTTCAGTTTCTTTGATCAGTGTCTTATAGTTTTCGGAGTATAGGTCTTTTGCCTCCTTAAGTAAGTTTATTCCAGGGCATTTTATTTTATTTTATTTTTTTGATGTGATGGTAAATGGGAATTGTTTCCTTAATTTCTCATTCTGATAGTTCGTAGTTAGTGTATAGACATGCAACAGATTTCCGTGTATTAATTTTGCATCCTGCAACTTTACTGAATTCATTGATGAGCTCTAATAGTTTTTTGGTAGTGTCTTTAGGATTTTCTATGTATAGTGTCATGTCATCTGCAAACAGTGACAGTTTTACTTCTTCCTTTCCAATTTGGATTTCTTTTAGTTCTTTTTCTTCTCTGATTGCTGTGGCTAGGATTTCCAAAACTATGTCAAATAAAAGTGGCAAGAGTGGACATCCTTGTCTTGTTCCTGATCTTAGAAGGAAATGCTTTCAGCTTTTCACCATTGAGTATGATGTTAGCTGTGGGTTTGTCACATATGGCCTTTATTATGTCGAGGTATGTTCCTTCTGTGCCCACTTTCTGGAGAGTTATTATCATAAATGGATGTTGAATTTTATCAAAAGCCTTTTCTGCATCTATTGAGATGATCATAAGATTTTTATTCTTCAGTTTGATAATGTGGTGTATTACATTGATTGATTTGTGGATATAAAAAAAAATCCTTGTGTCCTTGGGATAAATCCCACTTGATCATGGTGTGTGATCTTTTAATGTATTGTTGAATTCATTTTGCTAATATTTGGTTGAGAATTTTTACATCTGTGTTCATCAATGATATTGGCCTGTCATTTTCTTCTTTGTCATAGCTTTGTCTCATTTTGGTATCAGGGTGATGGTGACCTCGTAGAATGAGTGAGGAAGCATTCCTTCCTGTGCAATGTTTTACAATAGCTTGAGAAGGATAGGTGTTAACTCTTCACTAAATGGTAAAATTTACCCTTGAAGCCATCTGGTCCTGAACTTTTGTTTGTTGAGAATTTTTTTTATTATTGATTCAGTTTCATTACTGGTAATTGGTCTGTTCATATTTTCTGTATCTTCTTGATTTAGTCTTGGAGACTGTACATTTCTAGGAATTTATTTTTTTCTCAGGTGTCCATTTTATTGGCATATGATTGTTCATAGTAATCTCTTATGATCATTTGTATTTCTGTGGTATCAGTTGTAACTTTTCCTTTTTCATTTCTGATTTTATTCTTTTAGGCCGTCTCCCTTTTTTTCTTAATGAGGCTGGCTAAAGGTTTATCAATTTTGTTTATCTTTTCAAAGAACTGCTCTTAGTTTCATTGATCTTTTCTATTGCTTTTATAGTCTCTGTTTCTCTTATTTCTGCTCTGATCTTTATGATTTTTCTTCTACTAACTTTGGGTTTTGTTTGTTCTTCTTTTTCTCGTCCCTTTAGGTGTAAGTTTAACTTGTTTATTTCAGATTTTTCTTGTTTCCTGAGCTAGGCTTCCTCTTAGAACTGAGGTAATCGTCTCTCTTAGAACTGCTTTTGCTGCATCTCATAGATTTTGATATGGATCGTCGTGTTTTCATTTTCATTTGTCTGCAGGTATCTTTATTTCCTCTTTGATTTCTTCAGTAACCCATTGGTTGTTTAGTAGCGTATTGTTTAGCCTCCATGTTTGTGTTTTTTGTAGTTTGTTTCTTGTAGTTGGTGTCTAGTCTTATAGTGTTGTGGTTGGAAAAGATGCTTAATATGATTTCAGTTTTCTTAAATTTACTGAGACTTGTTTTGTGGCCTAACATGTGATCTATCCTGGAGAATGTTCCATGTACACTTGGAAAAGAGTGTGTATTCTGCCGCTTTTGGATGGAATGTTTTCTGCATATCTGTTAGTTGATATAGACTAACGTGTTGTTTAAGGCCAGTGTTTCGTTACTGGTTTTCCGTCTGGATGATCTGTCCATTGATGTAAATGGTGTGTTAAAATCACCTACTATTATTATGTTACTGTCAGTTTCTCCCTTTATGTCTGCTAATATTTGCTTTTAGGTGGTCCTATGTTGGATGATAAAAAGAGACATCTCATTATTGCAAAGGGTTCTAATCCATCCAGAAAATAAAACTTTATGAGTCTGATAACAAAGATTTAAAATATATAAAGCAAAAACATAAAATTTCTAAATATATAAAAACATGTAAAGTAAAAGGAGAGATAGACAAATACAGTTATAGTGGGATACTTGAGCATACCTTTCTCAGTGTCTGGTAGAATAAGCAAGCAAACGAATAGTAAGGGTAGAAGATCTGAACAACATGGTTATCAGATTTGACCTATTTGACACTTACAGAGCACTGCATTCAATAAATGCATTTTCTTTTCAAGTACATGTGGAACATTTAGTATATCTTGAGCATAATGCAAGTCTCAACAAATTCTGAAGGATTGAAATTATCCAAAAATTTTTTTATGACTACATTGAAATTAAGCTAGATAGCAGATAACAAAAAGGTTTATGAAAGATCAAATGACTATACAGTTGACGCTTGAACAACATGGGTTTGAACTGTGCAGGTCCAGTTGTATGCAGATTTTTTCAAAAAATATGTTGGAAAACTTTTTGAATATTTACGACAATTTGAAAAAACTTGCCAATGAATTGCTAACCTAGAAATACCAAAAAAATTAAGAAAAAGGTATGTCATGACATAAAATATATATGGATACCAGTCTATATTATCATTTTTTGGGTCATTTATTTTATTACACTTTTTTACTTTTTTTAATTGAAATATAGTTGAGTTACAGTGTTGTGTTAATTTCTACTGTACAGCAAGGTGATTCAGTTATACATACGTACTTTTTTTAATATTCTTTTCCGTTATGTTTTAATCACAGAATATTGAATGTAGCTCCCTGTGCTATACAGTAAGACCTTGTTTATCCATATATTATCATTTATAAATCTATTACAAAAAGTTAAAATTTATCAAAACTTACACACACACTTACAGACTATACATGGCATCTTTCACAGTCAAAATAAATATAAAGAAATGTACAGATGCAGTATTAAATCATAACTGCATAAAATCAACTGTAGTACATACTGTACTACTGTAATGATTTCATAACTGCATTTTGTTACTATTTTGGTGAGCTCAATGTCATGAGTATCCATTTAAAATGCTATGTGAGGCTCATAGTCTCTGCATGAGCAGTTAATCTCATCAGTAAATTGTGTATCAGTAAAA